GGTGAGTTTCTAAGGTGGGAGACTAGTTTTAATTGGAATGGAGGTGACACTCCCCAAAAGATATAATTCTTTCAATTCGATTGCCAGTTCCTGGTATTTTCTGTAACAGTAGAGCTTATATTATCATTGGGGATCCCGATATCAATAAGCTCGGCTTTTTTCTCTCTCATATCTATCAGGAGGATATCTAGTTTATTGTGACGCACAGTATGGTCAGTTATAATAGATTCACACAGTAGAGCTTGAGGACTACCTTTTTGGAGGAGTTTATTAAGGTGGTACTTATAATATGGAGTTTTGTCATCCAATAAGTTACGCTTCAATGCCAGAGCCTGGTGAAAAAGTTTAGCGACATTGTTATGCCTCTGGAAATACTCCAGGCCTTTTTATAATCGATCCATGCCATAGAGAGGTTTTGCTGTTTTTTTTAAACTTGTGCTGCAATGAACGAATCTATTACTTAGAGTTCTTTACAACCCCTAGCCCTTTTTTTACACCCTAGCTGTTCTATGTGTATCATATTTTCGCCTTATTATTATTATTATTTTAATTTATATACAATTATATACCAAGTCTTTTTACTGATTTTTTTATTATTTATTTACAGGTTGATCCTTTTTCTCCCCCACAATAATGTATATAAATACAGAAAAGAAACAAACAACATCGTTTATTTAATGTTGCATGTTTATGTATTATGTAATGAGCAAAAAAAAATTATTTGAGGAATTCTTTTACAATTCCTGGTCGCTGGATACCCTGTCAATGTAAAAATCACATTCAGAGAATCAATTTCATCTCCACTATCCACTCTTAGCATTAAATTCATGTTTCTGTTAAGTACTGCCGGTGTAGTCCTAATAAGAATGTTGAAGAAAAAACGTTTTTCCTTGGAAGAAAACTTGCACATACATTGCCGACTTGAGAATAGTCCAATAGTATGCTGGCTTAAGAATTAAACGTAAGTCTTTCAATAATTTCAAAAAATCGGGAGCATGTTGAACATAGAGTATCTTTTAAATCCAAAAAAACAACAACAATCTAATCATCACGAAATCGATCAAGTTTTCAAATGGTTTAGGATCCAGATAAGCTGCCACATTCTGTTATCAAGACCAATTGTACTCGAAAAGGCTAAGGAATTTTTAAAATCTATTAAAGATCCTCTTGGTGAAGCCTAAATTAGTATTTTGAGAGAATGTTTGCAAGGATTCTGCTCCTGACATAATATTATTTTTAAAAACGTGGTATTCGCTATCAGTTAACCAATAAATAGATTTTGATAGTTTGGACACCGACAATTCGTAAGAACCATGATGTCAATGAAATAATATTTAAAGCAGTGAAACAGGACTTTTTTCCAAGTTGATGCCCAATCTGACTCTGTATTTAAAGGTGACAAATGTTCTACTGGAAGATTGTTTAGATACAGAATTATCATTAAGAAGTTGATTACTTTATAAAAAAATATATGTCTCCATAAGTGTATATATTACAGATACTAAATGGTATTGGTATGTTTTTCTTTTCAAACAGCATTTTTTTAAACCAATTTTGCTTACATTTTATTCATTTTCCTTGTTGGTATTCATAATAACATCCAGGGCCATTATTGACAGTCATAGCAACCGTGGTCATTATAAATGAAATCCACTGCCTATGCTGGCCAAATACAACAGATACAAAGTCAAAAATAAAACATTAAATAAATTTTTTTTTTTTTTTTATCTATTTATTGAATAATAACACAATCAGCCACTGGAGGGCTATAAGTATTAGGGCTAAGAGTTCTCATTCAAACAATATATACAAATAATAGAGAAATAAATATAAATATAAAAAGTAAATAAATAATACTGATGAAGAAAGAAAAAAAAAAAAGAAAAAAAAAGTAAACAATAACATAAAAAGAAACTTATAAACACAATCATATCTATAAACAATATATACATTCGCCCAGGAATCTCCGAGCCAGGCTTTTTCCCCCACATGTGGAAGGCAAAGCAAGACTCCAGGAGATCCCATTGCCACTTTTCCAGCCGCATCACTAGTATTAGAAGCCAACGGAGACTGAAAGAGGGCACTAGAGCCACAGACACTCGGGACATGAGTGGAGAAGCTGGCCATTGCCAGGACTCCAGAAGCGTATTTACAATAGATCTCGCGGCCACTGCCGTTTTAACCTTCGAGGGGGATTGTAGGGATGGTGGGAGCTGGATAGGGATTGAGCTAGAGGATTTGGATGATGGATAAGGTTCTGGTGAAAGTTTGAGAATCTGGATGGGATGATGTCGAGGACAAAAGGGATGTTAAGGTCATGGTGTAGGGTCTTATTTGTGACATAATATGGGGCATTGGCTACTGTTTTAAGTACTTTGGACTGGAAGGATTGGATGCGTTTGATATTCGAATGTTTAGCAGTTCCCCACAGTTCAAGTGCGTAGGTCCAGATAGGTTTCAGTATGGTCTTGTAGATTAAAAGTTTATTTTCAATCGAAAGATGGGATGTCCTACTTAGTAATCTATACAGCTGGCCATATCGTCGGTTAAGTTCTTGTCTTTTAAGTCTGGTATGTGGGTTCCAAGTTAGTCTTTTGTCAAGAAGGAAGCCAAGGTAACGGACTGTGTCTGAGTAGGGAAGTGGAACTGAATTAAAAAGGATTGACGGACAGGATCTGCGTTGCAGGGTAAAAGTGATATGTTTGCATTTTGATTCATTGATTTTGATGCGCCAATTGTTGCACCACTGCTCAATCAAGGAGAGGTGAGATTGTAGGTTTAGAGATGCTATTTGAGGATCTGAGTGGGAAGATAGAATGGCAGTATCATCAGCAAATGTAGCTAGAAATGTATCGGAATTTGAAGGGATATCGGAAGTGAAGAGGATATACAGAACTGGACCCAAGACACTGCCTTGTGGAACACCAGCCTCAACTGGATAGTAAGTGGAGAATGCGGTGTCACAACGGACTTGAAAGGAACGATTTGAGAGGTAGGATTTGAGGACTAGGTATAAGGATTGGGGTAAATGGGTTTTGAGCTTGAAAAGCAAGCCATCGTGCCACACCCTGTCGAAAGCTTGTGCTACATCCAGAAAGGCACCAGTGCAATAATGCTTGTTTTCAAGTGCAGAGGATATATGGTCCACAACACGAAGGCCTTGTTGGACAGTGGAATGTCTTGAGCGGAATCTAAACTGATGAGAAGGGATGTTGTGGGATTCGATTATGGGTAGGACGCGTTTGAGAAGGATTTTCTCAAAGATTTTTGAGAGGATCGGGAGTAAGCTTATCGGTCTATAGGATGATGTGTTATTAACAGATTTACCTGGTTTTGGAAACAGGATGATTATGGAATGTTTCCACACCAAAGGAAAGTTGGTTGTGCGAAGGATGCAGTTGTATAGATAGGTAAGGAATATGATTGCTTTTTTGGGAAGTTGTCTGAGGATTTGTGAAGTGAGGAGATCATATCCAGGGGATTTTCGGGGTTTTAATTTGTTTATAAGGAATTTGACCTCAGAGGGGTTAACAGGTTTTGGAGGTAGAGAGAGTGGAATTGGTGAAGAGAGGAATTCTTCAACTTCAGCAGTGTGGCTGGGATGGAGTTCGGGATGAGGGGTGAATGTGTAGGATAAATGTTTAGCAAACTCCTCTGCTCTATTCGCATCTGGCGAAGCCCAGGAACCATCATCACGGCGAAGTGGATGGGAAATGGACTGGAATTTAAGGATTTTTTTGGTTACATTCCAGAGGGAGTTATCACTAGCGGATAATGAGGAGAGGTAGGAATTGTAGGATTGGGTTCTAAAAGTATCCAGTTTCTTTTTTACCTGTTTGGAATAATAATTATACGATTTCCGGTCATCAGGATGCCTGGTTCTTTGCCAAAGGGTCCTAGAGCAACCTTTGCTATGGATTAGGTCAAGTAGGTCTTGAGGTAAAGGATTTATGTTATGGTATTTTTTGGGACGATCAGGTGAGGATGCAGTCCAAGCTGCTTGCTGGATCAGGGTAGTGAAGGAATGCACTGCATCGTCGAGGTCTTCAGGTGTTTTTAAGGAAACTCTGAGGTCAATATTATCTTCCAGTATTTGACAGAAAAGGTTCCAGTTAACTGGCCCCCTGATAAATGAAGGTGGGGATGATTTGGGAATAGGAGATGTGGAAACGGTTAGGACTAGAGGACTATGGTCTGAGGAAAGATCATCAAACCTTGAAATAGAACAGTGTAGTGATCCTAGACCTTTGTGGAGGAAAAAGTCTAGAAGGTCGGGATTGCGGTTGGGATCTGTTGGCCAGTATGTGGGTGTATTAGGTGAAAGGATGTTGCTGTGATGGGAATTAAGTGCAGATAGCAATGTTCGCCCTCGGGAATTTGTGGATCTGGCTCCCCATTGCTGGTGTTTTGCATTTAGATCTGCACTTAGGAGGAAGTGGTGTCCTAAGGAATTCAGGAAGGAAATTATTTGGGATTCAGAAATGGGTGTTTTAGGCGGGGAATATGCCGCAACTAGTGTTATTGGGTAAAGGGGTGTTAAAAAAAAAAAAAAAAAAATTATAAATTTATTTTACATATATTGTACGAGCAAGCATCCATGCACTTCTATTTAACAACTATTCCCATTATCAAAATGAAAATTATCAATTTTTAATAAAAATTAGTTTTGTCAGAATTTCACTACTACTAAAACATATCGCTTGTTATCATACTATTAGTGCAGAAATGTTATTAAAAGCATTCTTAGAAGGGCTGAGAGGGTAACATAAGACATTATAAATTAATTGTTAATTGTTTTGAACTTAATTATATATATGATAAAAATTTAGATGAAGCGAGACCAATTAAAAGTAAAAAAAATAATAAAAAAAGGGAATTAAAATATACCAAGATTGAAGTATAAAATTTTTTTAAAACTTGTAGAGAAGGTAAGAGGAATCCAAAGGGAGAAAAAGAAAGACATAGTAAAATATGAGGGAAAAAAAAATAAATAAACGAACCTCACGATGTATTCCAGCAAGTTCCTGAATACGGACAAGAAGTTGGGCATTTAACGTTTCCATAACCCTCCTTTGAGATTCATGAGCAGCTAGAGCTGTTTCAAGTTGAGCTTGTGCAAGAGAAACACCAGCTTGAAGTTCAGCATTTTCTTGTTGCAAAGCCTAAAAATAATAAATTTAATAAAACATTTAAAACAGCAAACTAAAGAAACAAAATAAATGTATATAACTATTTATATTGGTTTATATTTTCATTCTATTCAAATTTGATTCAGCCAAGAACATTGATTCATGAAAGAAACCATTTAAAACCCAATATTAAAGAAATGATTGCCACAGAAATATATAAGAATAGTGTTAAACACAAAAAATCAGATAACCAATGTCTAAATATCGCCATTTAATCAACTCATATTAAAAATAATCAATAATAAAAATATGCTATACAAAAGTCAATAATAACATATACAATCTCCACCTGCAGGTCTAGAAGACCAAGGCATGAAAAACTGAACTACCCTGCTGCTAAACCCATCTCCTTTACTCTCTACAGAGTTTTTCTTCTGTTTTGAGTACGAAACAGAATTTCGATCACCTCTCACAAAGCAGTGTGAGTAGGTATGATTTTTGGTACTACTTTACTAGCAGGCCGGGTCGAAACCTCACTTCTTATCTATGTTATCTAACGTCACATCACATAACCTCCCTGTTCTTATCCTGCCAAACCTTTCAATTATTACGTTGTTTATTTTTCAGTTATTCCCTTATTACGTTATTAAAGAAAAATTGGAGGGCCTGGCAAAGTGATTGAAGTAGACGAGTCTTTTCTAAATGAAAAAATCATGTGGGGAGAGTTTTACCTCAGCAATGGATGTTTGGTGGAGTTTGCCGAGAAACAGATGAGTGTTTTATCGTCAAAATAAATGACAGAAAGGCAACAACCTTATTACAAGCAATTAAAGACAATATAGAAGAGGGAACGACCATTTATTCGGAGTGTTGGAAAGGATACAACACCCGACAACTGAACGAAGCAAACTATCACCATTTCCAAGTGAATTACCGGTATAAATTTGTCGATTCATCAACTGGGGTTCATACTCAACACATAGAAGGATTATGGGGCTCAGCTAAGTGGAGAAATAAAATACATAGAGGAACTACCAGACAACACCTCAATTCATATTTATGCGAATTTTCATGGCGGCGGGTTATCAAAGAAGAGGACCTGTTCATCGCTATTTTAAATCGCATAAAACTATTTTGATAGACGATAATAAATAAGACGAAGAGAAAATAAATTGTACATATGTCGTTTATAGTGTTTATATTTTTTTTATATGTACATATGATCTTTAAGTGTTTTTTTATTATTTCATTTTGATCTTTTATGTACATATCTTCTGTAAGTGTTTTTTATTATTTCATTAATATATGTAATAAAATAAAAGTATTTTTTTCTGTTATTACATTTGTTTTTGTTTCTTTTTACACTTTCAATAATACGAATATAATGCTATAATACAAAGATCGCAATTATGAGAAGGCTTATCACTGCCTTATCGGAATTATCATTGCTCAGGTTATAAACATTGACAGATGGCAGTCAGTCCCGGCCTGCTAGCGAAGAAGTACCTAATTTTTTTATTGTTTTTGTTACCTTTTATCTTTTCTATTCATAAGATTGTATTTTTTGAAGTGTATCTTATTTTATTTTTTACTTATCTTCTGCACTCTCCTCTCTATGTGTGTATGTGTATATATATATGTATATGGATGTATTTGTTTTTTTCTTTTTCTGCTTGTAATCTATTGTGTTGTAGTAGACAGCCCCCTGTATTTACTCCTTTATGTGACATTGTGTGAGGGAATGAGAAGGAATATATAGGAATGTGAGATTGCACTGTGAATTGTACTCAATTATGCAGTGGACAAATTATTATGGAAAAGTCTCATATCGATAAACAATTGATGAAGAAGGACGCTGGAAAAAGGAGAACAGGTACCTAGTAACAGCTGGAGAGGCACTTGAGGCTAGGACATGGAGGCGAGAGGACGCTAGGCCTGGATAGGAAGAAAGGAGGTTGTCAGAAGAGAGAGATACTACATTGAAGACTAAGAAATCAAGCCTACAGTTATAAGACTTTTATACATTCATTTATTACAGTTGTAAAATAAATTGTTTTATTATACAGGAGTGAAAAGTCTTATATTTATTTAGTTGTCCTATATGCCTCACAACTGATGAATAACAAACCAGATGAGTCAATTAATTTAAAGTGTATTTACTCAGTCCCACACTTCAGATATATATATTCTTATTGTTTCTTGTCACTCAGTGTCACAAAAAGGTATTAGATTCCCGAATTCCCAACGACAGTTAAACACCCTCAAAAAAGTCGATATCCAGTGACGGGGTTTTGTTTTAATAATCAGGAGTGTAAATAACTTAGTTCCCCCGATAAGCCTATTCCCGCCCTATTTAAAATTAACTTTTAGCAGGTTATTTACAGTGTCATAGGTAGATCACAATACTTGTCTACTTTTTCACAATATCTTCACACGTTTTCACTTAAACGTCTTAAGGAACATATATAAATCATTTATTTACTCTAGTTATTTTCTTTTATTCTTATTTTTATTTTTTTTTATTATATTTTAGCATTAAAATTGGTTACCTATAAAACTTATTTAGCATTTCTTTCCAATTTTATTTAGTTATTAGTATGTTGTTGTTTTTTGTACCTATAATATAATATTGTAACCCTTGTACCCATCTGCTTTCCTTATATACCATCCAAAACTATGTATATACTCATTTTATTACTTATATTGTAGTTACTCTTTATTATAAAAGGTCATCTGGCCAGATTTATTGTCAATTGGTTTAAACAATATTGTTATTCTTAAGAGACCTAGTCCCAGAATAAAGATGATTTTCTATTTCTATTTTTCTTTTTCCATCAGTATATTATTAGAACTAGAAAGTTGTAGAGTACAAGTTTCAATTTACTATATAGTGTTAAATGGAATGATACATGATTTTCAAAAATTGTAAGTAAAATTTAATCTGTAGTTTTCTTGTACTTAATTTAATCACAATATCTCAATAGTGCTGTAAACTTATGTATTGTAATTTTGTTATTTAAAAATTATTTAAGAAAAAATGTTTATACACCTATTTTTTTCAGACAAGAGAATGAATATGAGAATAAATAATACAGTCTCAAAACATAACCAAAATACAGTTGTATATTTATTAAGGCTGAACCTCAAGATCCTAAGAAAATATAACTATTTATAAATTAAAAAAATTACTTTGCATCTATCTTCAGCTGGCTGTTTTCCAGCAGTAACCCTTTTTAAATCTTCTTCTTTACTTTTCAGCTCAACTTCTAATGTTTCAACTCTTAATCTTAGAGTTGCTAGCTCTTTTCGTAGTTCAACAGCAGCCTCAGTTCCACCTGAAAAAAAAAAATTGTGAAATGATCTAAAAAAAAAAAAAAAAAATATTTGAATTTAATCTACTCAAAACCAGTTCTGGGGATCTAGACTACCTACTCCAAAAGAAAGTAATCTTAGGTATGTTCTTCCTGAGCTTTCCAAATCCATAAAATCTTTGTTATATACCTAAACCTGGGAAAGAGTCTTATGACAATACCAAAGCACACAGGCTTTCTTTCCTGTTGAAAGCACTGGAAAAAGATTATGGATAGACACATTAGGGACTCTACATTAGTAGAAAGGCTGATATAGTACGCTCAATTTGTCTATCAAACCGGAAAATCCTGTGAGCCAGCATTGCATCACTTGATTTCTAGAATTGAGAAAAGGTAAGGCTATTTGATATTCATTTGCTTTTTTTAAACATTGTCAATTAGTTATAATATTTATTTACAATTAGCTGTTGCTATTTTTATTAATTAATATTCAAGTTTGTATTTAGTATTAATTTCATATTATGTTTTTAACCATTAATAAATATATATTTTTATTTTCCAGTTTTTGTTTTCCTCATTATGTTTTAATTATTTTGGTTTATAAAAAAAAATCATTTTTATTTCACTTTTAATCCAATATCCAATTATTTTATTAGTTTAGACCTTTTTATAGACAAATTAGGGTAATTGAATATTTTAGCTATATTATTGCATATTTGGATTGGATATGTATTTAGTAACTAATCAAGCACTAAATTTTTCAAGGGTACTTGAATGTAATCATATAATATATGTTATCATATTTGGAGTTTTTTCGTTGCATATTTGAGTTTTTTTATTGAATATTATAATATAATATGTAATATAAATATAATATGTAAAAATCAGGAGTCTGCTTATGATATTATGATTGTTACATTTTTTGGCCAACTAGAACTAAACCAAGGATAAGAGATAAGATAAGATAAGGAGATAAGATGTTCAAAATAAAGCCATTCATCAATAAGATTAGAAAAGCCTTCAAAGAATGACTTTTGCTATTTTAAAACATATGCATCAATGAAAGGCTCTTATTGTTCAAACGGAACTTATTTTTTAAACAATTTATTATATTTAAAAGGGTAAGGTATGGAATAAAAATATACTTTCAGTGTGACTGCGAGTCTGGATGTATAATTGATTTTATAGTGTACAATGGAGTGAAATCAGATATCACCGAACACAATATTAAAAATATTGGCAAGTCAGGCAACATTGTATTGACACTTCTGGAGTCATAAATAATTAAAAAGTGGCAATACCATATATGTTGACAATTGGCCTTATATTATATGTTGGACTTGCCGAAAATGAAAGAGCGTCTAAAAAGAGGAACAATTAATTAACATCCACAGATACACTGTTAGCACTGATGTGGTCTGATAAATGGGAGGTTTGGATGTTATCCACTATACACAATGTGGAAAATACTTCAACCGGTTAAAAAGACTAAAAAATGGTGACATGATAAAAAGAAAGGTGTTATTGTATATAACCAAAATATGGAAGATGTGGATATGTTTTGAGTTCAACAGAATCAGTCAAAAAACCAGCGAAGAGGTAAAAAGAACTATTTCTTCACATTTTAGATTTGTTATTTGTTAAATGCTCACATATTGCACAAGATTATGACAGGACAAAACCTGACAAAGGATCAATACCTAATAAGAAAAATTTTAGACTGAAATAAGGAAATCTGGGGGAAGGAATAAGATCTAATGAAGATCCTCTAAATGCAAATAGCATTATAGATTATTTTATATACAGCAGAAACAACAAAAGATATTTTAGAAATGTAAAAGTCATAAGAGGGGCAGAAATAGGGTCAGACCATCTCTTGATTGGAGACACTCAAATCCTCCAACCTAGGAAAAATTTTAAGAAGAAATATAAGAAAAAAGATATTTCAAAGCTGAATGGACCAGAGAAGAAAATATAGTATGCCGAACTCCTGACTCAGAAACTCCAGAATTGCACAATGGATAGAAATGTGGACAGCATATGGATAGAAATGAAAAAAGCTTTCCTGGAGACAGCGGAAACCATATGTGGAACAGAAGCGATCTCCGCTAAAGCAAAAAGAACAAAGTGGTGGAGTGAAAGAGTTAAAGCTGCAATTGCAAGGAAAAAGCTGGCATGGAAAGCATACTGTAAGATCAAAAGTGCAGAGGACTGGGAACTCTATGCCAGGAGAAGGAATGCAGCCAAAAAAGTAGTAAGAGTGGCAAAGAAAAGTTGGGTGGAATTTGGTCAGAGCTTCCAAAATGACTATAAAGACAACACAAAAACCTTTTGGAAAACTGTAAAGGCATTAAAAGTGAAGACACGTAAGCCCATAAGGAATATAAAGGATGAAGGAGGACTACTGGTAACCAGAGATGAAGAAATCTTGAAGAGATGGAACCGCTATTATGCAGAAGTTTTTTCCAATGAATGCGAGGAAACAGCTGCGGATAGGTTATTACCAGAAGATTGTGATGATGTAATCTGGGAAGAGGATGTGGAAAGGGCTATAGAAAAGCTAAAGACCGGAAAAGCAGCAGAGAGGGATTGCATTGCCTCAGAGCTAATTAAGTTTGGAGGAATAGAACTGCAGAAACACCTGCAGGATCTCTTTCAGGCAGCTTTTTCTCAAAAAACTGTGCTGAAGGAGTGGGAGTATAACATCCTCATCCCTATACACAAGAAAGGAAGCTCTAGTGACTGCAACAGACCCATATGTCTCTGCCAAATGGTTTACAAGCTCTACAAATCCATCCTTGAACGAAAGCTGAGAGAAATCGTAGAAGGAAACTTCGAAGAAGAGCAGGCAGCATTCAGACCGCATCGCCAAACCCAGGACCACGTATTCTCCCTCAGATCTATCATTGAAAAGGCATGGGAATGAGGAAAGAGCATGTTTCTTGATTTTCTTGATATCAAGGCGGCATTTGATTCGGTTCCTAGACAAGAAATATGGGCAGCTCTAGCTGCAAAAAATGTACCCAATGCACTAATAGATGCTATAAAATCCATGTACCGTAACACAAAGGGCGTAATAAGAATAAATGGAAAAGAATCTGAACCTTTCGTAATGAAAAAATGATTAAAACAAGGAGACAGCCTTAGCCCTCTACTGTTCATCATATTCATGGATGAAATCCTAAAAATATGCAAGAGGAGGACAGCACGGACAGTTGTTGGGAAGTGGAATATGAGGACAATCCTTGCTTAGGCTATAGTTTTTGCAGATGACATTGTTCTCATAACAGATTCAAAAGAAAACCTGCAGCAAGCAATCATAGAGTGGGAAGCTGAGCTGGATAGAAAGGGAATGATGCTAAATGCAAATAAGAGCAAGGTAATGTGTATAGGACGAAATGAAGAAAATGTGGAGATCCGATGCAGAAGAGAAACCTTAGAGAAAACTGAGGAATATACCTACCTAGGTACAGTCATCAGCAGGAATGGAAAGATTGAACGGGAGGTTTCACAAAAAAACAAATAATGTCTACTACCAACTATGCAACATAATTGCTGGAAAGATTGAAGTGGACAAAAACGTGAAGCTGCACATTTTCAAGGCTATATACCAACCTACTCTTCTACATGGAAGCAAAAGCTGGGTCCCACCGGAAAAGCACTGGGGCCAAGTAACAGCCGCAGAAATGAGATACCTGAGGATAGCGGCTGGCCAAACCATAAAAAAATAATATACGTACAGAAGATGTGTTGTACATACTGAAAAAATTAATGTTCCAAAATTATCCACCATTAAAAACTAAAATCAAAGATTTTCAAAGAGTACTGGTAACACAGATTTGTATTTTGGCCATAATTTCAAACAGACAAGGAAATAATGTCTCAAATACCACCTTGTCGCGATAATTATAAATATCACAGAGATTTCCCAATAATCTTGGTTACTTAATGAATAAAACTTAAAAACTGGTATTTAAATAATGCAAAATATAAATATTAGGTCGATTTAAAATGTTATAAAAATCAAAATAAATAACACTACAGTATTACCTTTAGCAGCTTCAAGTTCTATATACTTGGATTTAAGCCTTTGATTTTCTTCTTTATAAGAATGTAACTGTCGTTTCCATTCATCAACATTTGCTGTACTTTCTTGAAGAGCACTTGTAAGCCTCATGTTATTATTTTTAAGAGTAGCTAATTCCACTTCCCATTTCTTAGCATTTGCTGAGCTAACAATACAATAGAATAATTACTATTTTATATTGTGATTATAAAGGGTATATTACTTAATGAAAAATATTAAAGTAATACACATTATTATGACCCATCATTAAGTTAACAGATCATTAACAGCACAAAACCAATCCATGACTCCTATGCATTGGTAAATTCATTATGCTTCAAATCCAACTACCACTATAATAAATATGGTAAGATCAATTTATCAATTTTAAAGTTTTTTATTTATATATTATCTAACACACTAATTATTAACCATGAAATAAATCTTAGGATTGTTACTCTCATTGCCTGGGACATCATCTAGGAGTTATCTCAAAACAACATGAACAAATTAACTTACATTTATTATAAATTACATTATTATTATATAAGCCAACAAGCTAATTTTCAGAATCTTTGTTTGCAAGATATATCTGTGTTACTTTAATAAATATTATAATTATAATATAATATTATTAGGATTTATAACACTATATATGATAAAATTAAATTGGCTTTTTGCAGTGAAATCCTATGAAGTACCATGATAGTCAATATATAAAAAATCATTTTACGAATATCGTGTGATAAGAAAACAACAATAATAATTTGTACAAAAGTTGCAATCTAATGAAATAGAGAACTTTCTGGTAGACTGAGGACCTTGATATTTCTAGACTGCCGTAAACATATGAAATTCTATTTACTTTCAATGGAAACGTTTATTTCCCATTCAATAATATAAAAGTAGACACTGCCATAACTACAACAGTTAAAATTCATTAGCTTTTAATCATTTTCCATTACCTTCTACAATACTATATGTTTTTTCTAAAACCTTTATCTTTGTAACAGTATATAATACATCAATATTACCACTCTTATTTCCAGAAATTTGTTTTCAATCTGTAAAACTATTTAGTCCATTTTCTCCTTTAGTTAATTATCAAACTCTTTCATAGTTCATATTTATCCATTTAGAATTACTACCATAATTTTTCATGTAATTTCCTATTACCATGTCTGATAGGCAATACGAGTATTAGCAACAACAGGAAGTTACAAATACCGGTGTAATATACACACTGATACTAGTAATAGCCCAATAACCTTATACATCTTAAGTTGCATTGAATGGAGGTAGGTTTCTTTTTATATTCTTGTATGAATTATGACTGGATGCAAAATCCAAGTTTTCAACCTCAGCGCCCCCTCTCCCTCCTCGATCACTTTTGAATATCTCAAAAACTGCTATACATTTGCACTTTTTTCGTTTTTTCCTTATTTCATGGATGAAGGAGCACGTTTTCGACAAAAAACATTTTTAAACTAGATTAAATAATTGTTGGTGTGAATTTTGGTTATGCATTTTTATTAAACCATCGGTCACAAACAGAGCATAGGTATCTATTGTTATTAATGTTAAGATAATGATAACACTTCCTTTGTTTTTAGATTTCTTACTTTCTCTTTGTATAGTATTTGTTCAAACTTCCTCTCTTCTATAATTTATTTTATTTTTCAAATTAAGAAGAAAATATATATACTTTTAAAGTTATAAAATAAGTTCTAAGTCAAAAGCAATATTTTTAAGAAAAAAATTAATCAATAAAGCTGCTGCTACTTCGGAAATTCTCTGCCTTCCAACAACAATGTTGACTGATAACTAACCTGTCACTACACAGAGTTGTAAACTGGAAATAATTAAGGGGGACAACTATTATTGTGATTGCAACAATAGAATTCAACAATCAAACCAAAATTATTCATTTTGAACTAACTTATTTGTTATTTTTAGAAATATGGGGGAATATAATTTAAGTGTATTCATTAGGGTGAAAGCACCAGTTATGGACAGGAGAACCAGTGATGGGCAGTTTGGACTTTAAATGTAAATAATAAGCTTCCTTGTTGATGTAAAGGTTCCAGTTTTTTCGAGATTGAAGAACAATGCACTCTATTGGCAACTGTATGAACAAGGTCCCCAAAAGAATATTTTAGAATGCCTATCATTGTTGTTTCTATAGTTCTCTTGAGATTACAAACAGTTTCCTTCCTACAAACAGTTTTGCTAAGAGTAAATTGAACATTCATGTTCATAGATGTTTAAATTTTAGAGATAGAACTATGAAAATATTTTTTTTTTACCATTTTAGAACTTTAGCTATTCGATTTTAGCATTAAATTTAATTGTGATTAACATTTTCAATGACCTTTAGAGGGTGTCTATCACTGGATCAAAAATTGGCCCAAATCTAGTTATGGACATCCATGTCCATTACTGTTACTACTGCACATGAAAATGTATCATGTTTTTTTTTTAAATTCTGAGTCTAGATAGAATGGAAAATTGCATGGTATTCTTAGCTTTAGTCTAAAAAATCTCTAACCAGTCTTAGACAGGGATGTCCATCACTGGGACCGACCATGTCCATTACTGGGTCCACCATATCCATTACCAGACATGTACATCAATTTAACCAGTTTTAATAGAATCTTTTGCTCACGTGACTATAAATGCACAGTCAAATATTTATAAATCAAATAGGAACGTGTGGTGTGTCACACAACCTTATTCCTATCAATTCTCGTTATTCGAAAAATTACATAAAAAGTTGTCTCTTGTCTCTTTACTTTACAAGATTTTTTATTGTTCATTATTCGTTTTAAAAAAATGAAGATCAAATTATTCTTCAGATAACAATATAGACTTTTTCCATAGAAAAAAAGGTATTTTAATTATAAAATAAAAAAAAAACGACTTTGCAATAGAACAGATTCAAAACACCATTTCTCTGCATCAAAGTTCAGTTGTCTGATTTTGATAATTTTTTTTTTTGTTTTTTAGGTAATTTTTTTTTTACCTTTCAAACACACACTCATATGATTAACCAAAATGTGTGTACTTTTTGGGTAATACAGTTAAATTTTTGTTTTCTTGATTAAATACAATGGTTCATTATTGAAAATAATAATCTAAAAATGTGAAAAGTCTGTTTATAGGGTCATAGAAAAATTTAGCAATACAGAAATTAAGGTTCATCAAATGAACTTTTGTAATCGACTGAAGACTATATTTGTTGAAAGAAGTCGAGAAATCAATATTATAAACGTCAAAAACGTATCAAATGAAACGCCTAAACCACTAGTTTTCGGAAACAAAGGTAACCAATGTTATCAATTTCCCAAAATTATACATATTTACTCTTGAACATATATTTATCCATTATAATATTAATAAAAGTGATTTGAAATTAAGGCAGAGTAATCAATTTTTTAAAAAATAATATATTACCTATTACATAGGCATCTCAAGAATTTCTGATTATTTTTTTTATATTGATATTTGTTTACTCCATAAACTAATTAAAAACAAATTAATTAATTAAAATAACTGTAATCATAGTTTTTTATAATTTAATAAAGATTTTAGAATTTTTCTGAGGTATGTTCATTACTGGTACAGACCCCCTATCCATCACTAGAACAATTGAATTTTGATGTACCCATCACTAGTGCAAAAAGGTGTTTTTTTTAAATGAAGATTACACCTGAATATTTTTTTATATACATACCTGAATATTTTTTTAGTTTTATATATATACCTGAACATTTTTTTTAAATTTAAAGTGTTAAATAGAAAAAAGAGATCCTAAAAGTTCTAAATGTCCAATGGAGAAGTTTATAACTATAATAATTACAGCAGCATAAGCCAAAAAAGACAAACATTTCCTTAGCTATGTTCATCACTAGTAAATTTAAGGACCACTTTGACAATATTTTAAATACGGGAAATTATGATCTGTGTCCTCCTTCTGAGTACCAGAGTGCTGAACCGTTGATAGAAGAACCGAGTAAAGAGGAAGTTGAATTAGCTATCGGAAAATTAAAATCTTATAAAGCAGCGGGAACCGACAATATTCCTACTGAACTAATTAAGGCATGCGGGGAAGCTGGAGTTTCTAAAATACATCGGATGGTTAAAAAGATCAGGGAGAATGAGAAATTACCGCGAGGACGGATTGTAATAACTATCGAGGAATTTCACTCCTTCCGGTATGTTATAAAATATTCACTTTAATCTTAACCAGTCGAATCACGGAATACGCCGAGGAAATTATCGGAGACTGCCAATGCGGATTTAGACGGAATCGTTCAACTATTGATCAAATATTTTCTTTACGGCAAATATTAGAGAAAAAATTGGAGTACAACGGTATTGTTCACCAGCTGTATATAGATTTTAAAAAGGCTTACGATTCTATTGACCACCAGAAACTGTATAATATTCTAATCGAGCAGGGGATTCCTAAAAAATTAGTAAATCTAGTGAGGATGTGCTTGACGGAGACACTCAATAAAGTTAGAATCGGTAATAATCTGTCCGAAACATTTGAGGTTCGTTCGGGTTTAAAACAGGGGGATTCCCTTTCGCCTGTCCCGTTCAATTTGGCATTAGAACATGCCATTAGGAAGGTAATGCTTACCGAGAAAGGGTTGGATCTGGATGGGACAACATCCGTGCTGGGCTATGCGGATGATCTGGTACTGTTAAGCGAAGATCTTGAAACTATAAAACTAAATACGACAACGTTAATGAAAGCCGGTAAAGAACTAGGACTCAAAATAAACGTGGATAAAACAAAATATATGGTTAGCTGCAAAAATGGCGATACTACTGGTGATATCGATATAGATGGTAATATGTTTGAACAGGTATATAAGTTTAGGTATCTAGGTTCTACGATAACTAGAAAAAACGAAATTGAAGAAGAAATTAAGGTTAGACTGAAGGCGGGAAACGCTTGTTATTTTTCTGTGACAAAACTACTTAGTTCGCGCCTCTTGTCCCGAAACTTAAAAATTAGAATCTATAAAACAATTATCTTGCCTACAGTTCTTTATGGGTGCGAAACTTGGCCGCTTACATTAAGGGATGAGCAGCGTCTTAAGGTTTTTGAAAATAAAGTATTGCGTAGAATATTCGGACCGAAGAAGGATGAGTTAACCGGAGAGTTCAGACGGTTACACAACGCCGAATTGCGTGAACTGTATCCGAGTAATATAATTGAGATAATTTCATCGTGGCGAATCAAATGGGCTTGTAAAGTTGTTGGACTTAGTAACGAGAGAATTCCTAAAAGGTTAATATTTGCTGTGCCGAATGGTAAACGTCCGAGGGGTAGACCGAAGCGAAGGTGGGAAGATTGCATTAAAGCCGATCTGAAGGGACTGGGTTTGGACGGCGAACGGTGGAGGGAGGTGTGTAATAAGCGATTGGTGGTGTCGGCATCGAACCTTCGGGTTCGCTAAGCCTTTTATTATTATTATTATTATTATGTTCATCACTGGTGCACTTAATCTAATATTGGGGTGTCCATAACTAGTTTTTATCCTAAATGTCACCAATTCATCAGAAACTTAATATTGAATCTAAAAGGGAATAAACAATAAAATTGTTTATTACCTGTGAGCAAGAGCCAATTTGAGTCTGTCGTTTTCATATTTCAGCTGTACTTCAGTTGAAGATGTAGGTCCAGGTGCTGGAGATTTTCCTTCATTTGATTGGTGTTTAGGGCTATCATTAGGCTGTAACATATCATAAATATGATTATTTAAATGATAAAACAAATGACGAGATGAATCTTAGATTACACAATATAGTAAACAATTAATACAACAATCTTTTAAGTCAAACGAGCACAGATATCAAATATGGAAATATCAACTGGAGTGAGAGAGGTTGACCCATATCTTTAGAGAATTATGGTAGGTCATACCTTGTGCTTTTTTTTACTTTAGCCACCATATCCCCGTCTTCACCTTCCCACTCTAGTTGGAATAAGTTTGGTTGTACCTCTAAAACCTGCTTAGACAATGAAGTCCCAGGACATAGAAGAGGATAAGGCTCTGAGGCACACTATGGAGTATCCGCCTGGCATGGAGTTCATTCCACCATGGGACGTGTGGGACCTGCGGATGGCGATAGACAGAGGTTAGGAAGAGCTCCGGGACTCGACACCATCGATGGCGATTTTAAAGAGGAGTGCCCCCTATATTGAAAAAAAATAACTTGAGATAATGAATGAATGCTTGGATAGGGTCACTTCCCAACTTAATGGAAGGTCGCCAACCCGAGGCTGCTTTACAAGGGGGAAGGCAAGGACAAGCAGCTAGAAAAATCCTATAGACCCATATGTCTCCTCCCTGTAAGAGCCTGGCGCCAGTCCTGCAGGCAGCGAGTCACCCGAGGCAATACGGATCCACAAAGAGGGGCGTGACACCAGAGATGCACTGATAAGGTTCTCAAGGAGGTTGATGACAAGGCGGAGAAATATGTCATGATGGTCCTCTTCGGCATATCTTCCGCCTTTGATAGCGTATGGTGGCCCTGCATAATCCAGTGCCTCCAACAGTTCGATGCCCCCAGCAACATGTACTCCCTCAATAGGGGGTATGGTATATCAGTGACAGGAAAGCTAGGATATGGGGTAACTTCTATGAGGTAGAGCGGAAAATAAAAAGAGGATATCCACAGGGCTCATTGGGTGGTTTAGAGACCAACTCAGGAAGCATGGGAAGAACATCGACCCCTCATGTCACGATTGCGATGCTCCTGATAAGGCTGAGCATGTGGTGATATCATGCACCGCGATGGAGTAAACCAGAGGCATATTGATGCGGAGGACGGGACTGTATGTCCTATATGTAGAGGATCTTCCTCGACTGATGGAAGAGGAGAAATACCCATGTGGGAAAATGGAGACAACACGGGGAGCCTACGCACTTCACAATAAGGAGAGGATTTCCACCAGCAGCCCAGGAGGAAGAATTTCAGCAAGACGGGAAGAGCAAGAGTTTCAGCCCGAATGCCCCTCTCTCCTGCATTCCCATGGGTCCGTCAGTGGGTACTGATACTGTGAGTCTTGTGGTCCTCTTTACCAACCCCTAAAATGGTTAGAGGTGGCCATCGCATACTAACCTAAGTGGGAGTGTCAAGATTCATTTCTCGGAGCAATAAAATGTCAATTGGCCCAGGTAGAAATCAAACCCACAACATTCAGAATCGAGCCCTCCTGAACCATAGTAACTATGTGCTCACCCTTCATGTCCTCAAACATATATAAAAAAAATATATATAACCATCCGAAACTAGAATATTTTCATTCAATTTTTTTTAATTTATTCTTTTAATGATTTTTAGCCAAAAATCACCAAAATATTTGTGGTACTTTTGTATCCTCTTATTAATACCAACATTTTAGCTTCATGAGCAAGTATGAAGTGTAAATATTATATATAATTAGTTCATGGACCATTAAAATATTTCAATTTTAGCACATCAATTGTTAACTTTATGTACATACATTATCATAACTATTATATAATATAAATAAATAAGATTATTTTAGTTTACAATCAATTTACTTACATGTCATGCACCTTCATTATTAATAATATTGTAACAAACAAAAAATATGAAGAAAACTATCATTTAGGTATACTTCCCGACAACAGAACTTGACAGGAGTGCAGAATATCTTATAACAATTTAAGATGATCATAAATAAAATTGACTAAGTGATCAATTTGGAATGAAGAGAATTTCTTATATTTAATGGAATTAAAAAACATCAAAACAATTGTGCCTGAACAATCAATGCTGTATTGCCTCTACAAGAAAAGAAAGTACTATTTGCAACTGCTGAAACAAAGCCCTATAATAAAATAATCAGCATATTCATCTTGAATTAACATTTGTGAAACCCCCCCCAAAAAAATCCCTTACGGCTAGAAAATGGGGAATATGATACAGCTTCAGGCCTTGTCCACAACGGTGCACTAACCCCAAGCATCCCCCTATGCTCCACATCTTCTTCTTCTTCTTTGTGCCATTACTAGCATTGAGGAGCCTCTATCCAATGCAGCCATGTCTCTTGGTCCCTACTAAGCCGCCTCATTTCCTGGAGGGATTTGCCTCTCTTCTCTACAATCCGCTGCATATAGGGGACCCTACACGGTCAATCGGAATTGCACTAATGACGTTCCGAATTGTCGTGTAAGGTAGTGAATAAAGTACTGATGGTGGTGCGCTGCGGATTTCCGAACATCTGGAAATCAAAGGTTCATTCACGAGAAGTGGAGGGGGGACTGAGGTAAAAGTAGTGGGGAGACTAACCATACTGCTGGATAGGTTAGGTTACCTAGGCCTCACAAACATTATAAATTTCTGATTTTCATCATTATATGTAAATAGTTAAATAATTTTTCATATCCCTTGTTTATAATTTTAAACCATCTTCAACTATTTCTTTTAAATAGTCAAGTGGGCAACAAATTAAAAAAAAAAAATGAGGAAACTTCACAATTTAATTTAGGAAAAAAAAACTTTAACGTTGGTGTATATTTATCAGTTCTTTTCCCATTTTTCTCGACAAATTTATTATTTTCGCAATACCTTTCCTTAATTTTTGTAAGTAGTAGACTTATATTTTACTAACTTTTGTCAAAACGATTTTCTATGAGACTAACCTTACTACTAGATAGGTTAGTTTACCTAGGTCTCGTTATTAAGTAAATAATTTCATAAAAGTAAATAGTTGTTTATATCCCTAGTCTATATCATTATTAACCATTTTCAACTATTTTTTCTTTAAATAGTCAAGTAGGCAATAAATTGGAGAGAAAAAAAGTGGAAACTTCACAATTTACTTATAGAAAAAAAATCTTTAACTGTTGTGTTTATTTGTCATTAATTTTTCCATTTTTCTTAACAAATTGATTATTTTCGCAATACTTTTCCTAAATTTTTGTATGTAGTTGATTTATATTTTTCTAACTTTGGTCTAAACGATTTTCAGGCACTAGGAAGTAATTATTATATCTCCGTTTTTCTCTTGATGTCCACTATTGTAAATGACAATGTCCAAAGAAGAATATCTATGCTGTTTCTTTGTTTACAACTGCGCTAAATTGTTATCAGCAATGATTGAACATGTAAGGGTCTTCATGATCAAAGCGATAGCGGGCAATCTTGGAACTTCTTGTGACGTTCATTCATGAATTACCGTGTAGGGTCTGCTTATACTCCTGATAGGAAATTCTGGGGCGGCCCCTCGGCCTCCTCCCAGTGGGTCGAGCTTCCAGAATCTTCCACGGATATTTCTCCTCCTCCATCCGACAAACGTGCTAAACCACTCCAACTGTCGGTTTTCAAGTAATGTCCTTAGTTCCGCCACCTCCAGGTCCTCCCTTATGTGTTAATTTCTGACGCGGTCTCTCCTGGTCTTTCCAGCAGCTCTCCGCAGAAACTTCATCTCGGCTGCTGTCACATAACTAACTTGCTTGTCCAGCATAATCCAGCTTTCGCTTTCATACGTGAGGGTTGGGAGATATACCGACTTGTATATGTGCCTTTTTGTTTCCTTGCCAACTTTCCTGTGCCCTACTATACTGTTTCTGATAGAGTAATATACCTGGTTGGCTTTGGATATCCTATTCGCTACTTCTGGGTCAATCTTCCCCTTGTTGCTGATAATTGTAACCAAATAGGTGAATTCTTGCACAACTTCAAGTACCTCCCCGTTACAGATCAGCTGGACATCCTCTTGTCATGATATGACTAGGGCTTTGCTTTTGGAGCTATTGATAATCATACCTTTGCAGAGGAGTTCTTTCTGTCATTCTACAAGGGCTAGCTGCAGCTTATGCTCCACATCAAGAAACAATAAACACATTGTTTCCTTAGGAATTGGCCATAACGGCTCACCAACCTTCCCTCATCCAGACCTAACAACGGCCAGATTTATAGAAATCTTTTTATATTATCTCATTTTCATAACAACAAATCATAATTGAATTTATGGTTTATTTATATTAATATTTATTGTGTTTATTATAAAATCTATAACACTATTAAATGAAAGGGAATGTTTGTAGATAGATTTTAAATACGTAGGTTTAAGTAGCAAACAAATTAGACATTTTTTATTTTTAATGATACTGATAAGTGAAAATAAGCTTTTTCTAGCTTTGGGATAAAAAAAAAAAAAAAAAAAATACAAGCATGAGCAAAAATGAGTAATCATATTTTTAGCTACATGATTAAATTATTTTTTACTATAGGTAGCATTAAGATAGTTTTAAAAATTAAAAAAATATATTAAATAAAAACTAAACCAAATATCGTTCAAAAACAGAACAAATTTAGCTTTAATGAAGAAACTTTTTTTTACAAATCACTAAACATTTAATATATAAACAACTTTATTCTAAAAAAAATTCAATGCAAAAACTATATTGATACTCAATCTCACAGAAGTTGTAAGTATAAATTTTATTATTATTATCATTTTATTTTTTATTTTATTGATTTTTTTTCTCACAGCTATCACAAAACAAAACATCATCATCTTCATCAAAAGTTTCATTCGAATATTCGCTAAAATATTGCAACACTACAGCTACCAATCAAACTCATAATGATTTCACTTTTGTTATATAAAAAATTAATTAAAATAATTTACACAATGATTTAAATTTTGAATAAGAAAAATAAATTTATAAAGGAAAGGATTTTAGACCTTAGT